TGGCTGCTGTGTGTTCAAACACTTAGGGCTCAGCTTAAAAATGTCTCAGTCGTGCCATACATGCTACGTGGGGTGCATTTCATGGTTCACGGTTTGGCATGACTTAAGTTCCACTCCATGGTTATAGAGTAGAATTTATTTCTATGCAATGTCAACTACCAGCCCCAGAACTTCTGTTCTTAGTCTCACTAACAACTTACTCCAATGAATTCTTACTAGACTGAATTTTCTTTACGTACCCATTTCTGTTATTACCCTTTATTGTGATTTGCTTAAATAAGGTATGCAATATATTTAATGAGTAATTACATTATGGAACCTATTATATCCAGTCAGCTCAGAATATATGCTTGCTATGATTAAAAAAAAAAAAATCACTTCCCTTCTACAGAACTGACGTCCAAGAAGCCAGGACTAGAGTGGTACATAATTGTAATGTCATAAAATTTTTTTACTTGCAATTCTCTAAATGAATAAATAGTATTTTTACTCAAGAAAGCTATCTCTTGTGAGCACCTAAAGAGGACCAGGCAAACGATATTCTTTATGTGAAAAGATTTATAAATAGGTTATGCACGTAATTGTTAAGAATCATAGAAGGTATTAATTTCTAATGTCGCTTTTCCTTAACCTCAGCTAATATTTTTTAAAAATATATTTAACTTCGTTTTAACTCCATAAAGGATGGTCTATATGTGAGAAAAAGAGGGGAAGGATGTTTTAAGAATAATTTAGGACAAAAATGTCCCAGTGAAGGAAGAGATTGGTTGTTTGCATGAGGTCACACTAAGGAAGTCCATGGGCTTAGCTGCTTGTTGATTTCTGCCTTCAAATTGGCAGACAGCACACATGGGACCTGACTGCCACGTCTCTGATTTGGCCGCTCCCACCTGCTCTAACTCAGCTTCCCAAGACATTTTCATTCCTCCTCACATTACTTATCTGCCACAAAGCATCTCACCTTTACTGTCCAAAAATGAGCAATGAATTTATTTTAATAATTAGAAAAAAACTCTTCACAGTAAGTTTTTATTAAATTCTCATCAAGGCTTTGGAGAGGCCATTTTATTTACTGTAATGTATTTTTCCTTTGAGTAGCTTATCCACTCTCTCAACTACAGACATCGCTATTTAAGCTGAAGGACTATTTCCTATTATCCAAACCCAATTAATATTTCTTCCAGTCTCCCAATTATTTTCCCCTTTTTTGATACACTTCCTGATCCTCTAAGTCCTCTGTGCCTATTCCTACCTCTGTCCAAATGTAAACACGTATGGTAAGAAGTCTAATAATTTGGCTTATTTCCTTGTACACTTTTCTAGAGGCTCATAAACATGTACAAACAAAAAATATGTTTACTATTTCACTTTCTAAAAACAGGATAATACAGTACTATACCATTCCTTTCTAAAATCTTCATGGATTTTTTTCAAAGTTTAGATATATATCTAACTCACTTTTATTAATAACTGCATAGAAAGGATATATCTTTTATATGGAGGATTTTATATAAAGGAGATACCATTTTTAAAACTTTTCATCAATCAATACGGTTTTGTTTTGTTTTGTTTTTACTATCCCAAATAATTCTGCAATACATACTCATACTTAATACCTTATGTTCTAGGTCACTCATTTCTATAGAACCTATGTCTAAGCATGACTAATCAAAGGCTATGGAGTATTTCAAAAGCCAACTCACAGCAACATACCATTTTACAAAAAGATTACAGTAAAGCACATTTTCATTTGGAATGAAAAAGAATGTGAATTTCCTCAAAATTTAACTGTAGCTCGCTTATAATATATACTGTTTTTTAATGTTTGTCTATTTGGTAGATTAAAGAAAATCATGTTTTCATTCTGAATTTTATGTCATTGATTGGCACATTAGGGTGAAAATATTTGCATATGTTTATTGGTTGTTTGCATTTTTCTTCTCTGAATTTCCTGTTGATATTTTTTGCCTAGTTTTCTATTCCTTTGTCTTTTTCTCATCAACATTAGGAAGTCTTAATATATTAATTATATCAACATTTTGTCATATTTGTGACACGTTATTTCCTGTGGTCTATTTTTATCCTTTTTTATGTTAAATTATTCCTTGCTATTATTGTTGGTATTCACACTGCCAACTGTACCAACCATTCATGTATGGCTTCTGAGTTTCCTGCACGTACTTAGAAAGCCTTCTCCACCTCTAGGTTGTATGAATATTTTCCCAATGTTTCTCCTATCAAGTCTATAGTTTTATCTTGACAGTTATATTGCTTTCCCTTTGAGATTTATTTCTGAATATATTGTGAGTTAAGGGCCTTAATTTTCTTCCAGATGTTTAGCCAGTTATGCTAACACCAGTTCCACCACTGCTTTGTACTCAACTGAGATACTTTGAAATGAGTCAGGCTCCTCTATATTTTTTAATCTGTTCTGAATCTTTTGTTATGTCCTAGAGAGATTATTCTTTCTATTTGGGGCCAACTGGACACAACTGTATGTTTAGTAAGGTAAAATATTTTTTTTTAAACATCTTTATTGGAGTATAATTGCTTTAAAATGGTATGTTAGTTTCTGCTTTATAACAAAGTGAATCAGCTATACATATACATATATCCCCGTATCTCCTCCCTCTTGCGTCTCCCTCCCTCCCACCCTCCCTATCCCACCCCTCTAGGTGGTCACAAAGCACCGAGCTGATCTCCCTGTGCTATGCGGCTGCTTCCCACTAGCTATCTATTTTACATTTGGTAGTATATATAAGTCCATGCTATTCTCTCACTTTGTCACAGCATGCGGCTGCCCCACTAGCTATCTATTTTACATTTGGTAGTATATGTAAGTCCAAGGTAAAATATTTCGAACAAAATTTTCCCTGCAACTCTCACATATTTATGCTTCCATATGATCTTCAAAATAGCTTGATCCAATTTGTCAAAGAAACAATCAGCCACAGAATCCTGAGTACAACTGCCTAATGTTACATTAATTTGGGAGACGGTAATATTCGTATGGTGTCAAGCTCTTCTACACAGGACTGTAGCATGCCTTGTCCTTTATTCTGAGTTCTTTTATGTGCTTTGATAAAATACTATAGTGTTGGGCTTCCCTGGTGGCGCAGTGGTTGAGAGTCCGCCTGCCGATGCAGGGGACGTGGGTTCGTGCCCCGGTCTGGGAAGATCCCACATGCCGCCGAGTGGCTGGGCCCGTGGGCCATGGCCGCTGGGCCTGCGCGTCCGGAGCCTGTGCTCTGTGGCGGGAGAGGCCACAGCAAAAAAAAAAAAAAATACTATAGTGTTCATCAGACGGGTCTGGTTATCTTATTAAATTTATTCCTCGTGCTTTACATTTTGTCACTGCTCTAAAGCTAGTGGCCTAGCAAGATTTCCAGACCATGACAGAATAAAAATCCATGACCTAACCCAGCTATATAACAAAGCAGTATTTGGAGTATAAGGAGTATCATGAACTTTTGCTCCCCTTTTCCATTACCCCTGAAAAATAATCAGAAAACTCTCACAGGTAGGCTTTTGGAAGCAAACTAATCAAGCAATACAGCCTGGGCCTCAACCCAATTTCCTGCTTACTTACCATTTTCACAAACTAGATTATCCAATCAATCTATTCGACTCTCCTTTGTGAACCTACTTTTGCCTCACACTTTCTTGACCTAGTGACACAATTTTGACTGACAGCATCATTGATTCTTTCCATCAATGAATCTTTCCTTAGCTACTGTTTGATAAACTTGAGCGTCTACCTTTACCTAAGTCAGTCCCCATTTATTAAGCAAAATCAATGTCCTCTAGGGAAACTGAGTCCTTCTACTAGCTGAGTCCTTAATTGCCGCATTTAGTCTATTGCTCTGTTGAGAGGTTCCTGGGATCAGGGAAGTTAATGTCACTCTTACCTCACTGCTGCTGCTAATTCAGCATCCCTGAATCATACAATTCAAACACAGGATGCTTTTGCACTTAAAAAGAATATTGATTTGTATTCTAGCTCACGGTAAGCAAAAGAAACAAATTTTTTTTATTTTCCAGCTTTCTTTCATCATTTATTACATTTTAATTATAAGAAACATGAATTTTATGAAACAATTACTTTTAAATCTTAAGACTTCAGATTTTATCTGCTTATTCATTTTTATGGCAAAGAAACGGTAGAGAAAGAATCATTTAGACTACAGCTTTACAGGAGAAGTTCTGAAATGCATTCTTCCAGAGCCAGCTTGGAAACACTGGGAAAACAAATTTGCTTAGGCCCACAATGATATGATATTCATCTGCTCTCACACCAGTTTTGCAGCATCATGGATATACTTGGAAATTTTATTAAACTTTAGGTTTCCTACAGACCAATTATTTGGCTTCACACATTTCACAGTATTAAACGTCAGGTCCACCACTTAATCCGCCAAAACTTCCCCTATAGGACTTTTGACTGCAATTTTCGTTTTTTTTCCTGTAGGATATTTTTTTTCAAGGTAAGCTGCCTAAATCTCAAATAAAAACTGAGTCGAGGGGCTTCCCTGGTGGTGCAGTGGTTGGGAGTCCGCCTGCCGATGCGGGGAACGCGGGTTCGTGCCCCGGTCTGGGAGGATCCCGCGTGCCGCGGAGCGACCGGGCCCGTGGGCCGTGGCCGCTGGGCCTGCGCGTCCGGAGCCTGTGCTCCGCAGCGGGAGAGGCCACAGCAGTGAGAGGCCCACGTACCGCAAAAAGGAACTGTGATAGGCAACTTACATTTATTACTTCATTTAATCCTCAAAGCAACCTGCCTTAAATTTCTTTATCCCTAATGCACAGAAAAGAAAAAAAAAAAAAAAAAAACTGAGTCGAAAGCTATTATAATCATACGTGAATAGCAATTGTATAATGAATACCAACATTCTGCTAGAAAACCATGATTTTCGTCCCAACATAATTAAATCACCATCTTTCATCCGAAAGAATGATGTTTACAATGTCCCAACGTGTATGTCAGAAAAGTGGAATGTTTCTACCTGTTCTTTGACCGAGGCGAGGATAGCAGAGGTGGTCTCTGTCTCCGAGCCATCCCCATTGGAGGTGGTGAGGCCAGGGCTCAAGGAGCTGGTCTTCTCCGAGGCTGATGGAGGCTGGTCTGGGACAGGCATAGCTCCTGCAATGCAAGAGAACATGCTCAGTGCCACTGGATATTGGCCCTGTAAACAGACGTAACTATCAGGCAGCTCTAAGAGGTACACTTTGGCAAGATGGAAAGTATGAACTACAGAGAAAGCATGTGACATAATTGTAGAAGGAGAAGCAAGCAAATAGACAGTCTCTCCTATAACCACCCCGACCAAATTCCAAAATACGCTCACAACTTTGTGTCTTGACTTTGAGGTAAATGGAGGAAGAAATGATGAGATAGAAAAGGCAAGTAAGATGAGAAAAAACAGAGGGATAAAGAAGTAAAGATAAAAGATAAAAAGCTCGTCAAACTATCATTTTCTATCTGATTTAGATACATTTATTACTTGTGCACTGACATACTTCCACCTCAAAAAAAAAACAACATCTAAAGATATTCTCCTAGATGTGAAAATCACACAAAATAAGTGATCAATAATTTATAAGTAATTAAGAAACACCACAGTTGACATAAGAAGCTCGGCTGGTATTGTGAAATATAGTAAATGGCTAGCCTACTCCACAAATATTTGCTGAGCTCTTAACTCTGAGACCAACAGCAGACAAAAGCTGCAAAGCTGGCGAGACTCATTTGCCACAGTTTATTCTGTCTGAGTTCACTGATGAAAGAAAGGAGAGACTCAATTAACATCAGCCCACTTCATAAAGGGACAGACATGTACGGGTTAAAAACAGGGCTCTCAGAAGTTATTCTGTTCCACTGCACTTCTCTTTCTCACACAAGTAAATAAGACTGAAGTGTTTGTCACATGTATTACTTAGCAATGGTCATCAGCAGAGGAAGTAATAAGTAACTCAGGGCAATTTTTACCCAGGCACAACAAAAATCACTGTTCAAATAAAAGGCTGGCAGTAAATCAAGGTGATTTTCTTGCCTTAAGCTATTATATTCCATGTCCTTCCAGGAACCATTGCTGTGTGAATGTTAAAAGGTATCTCCTATTATACTGTATCTGAGCATCCTGGGTTTCAAACTAAGCAACATAATTTTCTTCACAGCCCTTGTACTATGTTATTAGCGGCATTTAGTTAATAATTTAGGGATATGCAAACCCCAAAGGGCTCCAGTACAGAATTTTCCTTTAAATATATGACAAAAAAGTAGTTACCTAATGTTCCCATTGGACATTCCAACTTAGTTTTGATTTTTTTTTATTTTTTGAAGTTCCTTATAATATTACTAATGGGGATTAGAATATCACTGGGAAAATAAATCTGTTACAAACATAGAATATATGGGAGGAGTTGGGCAAATGACATTAACAAGCAGAATGCAAGCAAAGAATAAGGATCAAGTGAAATATAATTTGGCCAAGTGCAACCATGGCAAACAAGTGGAAAGTATATTAGGTGATGGATACCAACAGGAGAAAAGAAAGAGGTTTAGGTAATTATGATGCTGGGGGTGGGAAATTAAAAATAAAGTACTTTTGTGTGTTCAGTTTACTTTCATATGTGGTTTTATAATTTGATCAAGCCTTATAATCACAAGGATGGACATAAACAGACCAGCAAATGTCATGCCCGGTAAAACAGCCTGAAAGGCATGTCCTTCTATTTAGGGGAAGTTTGGGAGGTGGGAGAACAGGGCAGGGGAAGAAAGAAAGAAGAAAGGAAAATGGCAGCTCTTGAAGAAAAAGTCACCTCTGGCCATTAGGGGAGCCACCCCTTGACCGTGCATCTCCACCTACATCCATGGCAGTGGCCTCCAAAGGGCACTCTACGTAAGAACAGCCTTACGCTGAGAGAGAAGGGTTCTTACATACTTCAAATTATTATTTTAACTTCTGTGTTTTCTAAATTTTATTGGGCTCATTTGAATTCAAGCTCTGGGCCAGTATTATTATCAACACAATTTTTCGACAACGAAATTGCCTGAGGTCCCAAAGTTATTAAGTAACATAAGTGGACCTAGAACTCAAGTTTTCTCCCTTTTTCCCCCTATTTTAGTGGGCTTTGATGTTTCAGCTTATTTCCCATACCTTCTATTGCCTTCTAAATGCTGTCTACACACCAATTTCTATAAAATGTAACTCTTAAAAGTATGACAGTCACCTGTCATCTTAAAATATGGGATTTAATAGGCAACGAATAAAAGTATATCCTTAGGCACTTGACAACTTTGACCCACAGAGTATAAGCAATGATTCGGTTTGTTTATATGCCCCCTCCTTCCCCCTGATCGCAATAACAGAAAGAGAAGTGAAATCTTTAAGGCTTTTCCCACCATAGAGGCACTGCTACCCAAGGCAACCTCTATGCCCTAGTGAAAATGACTTGGAATAATTTCCATGGTTCGTAATTTTTAACATCCAGATTTAATTTAACCATTGGTCATCACCACGTATGGGTGGTAAAGACTGTCAGGCCTCCACTTCCAACCTTCTTAGCTTAGGGCTTACAGAAAAGAGGGAGGGCTGGGTAAATACCGCCAGAACCATGCCCTGGATTGCTAATAAGTATAAAAAGCCTTAAGCCTTCAGACTCTGCAGCCTATGGTTAAGTACTTTAGTCTTAAACAGAGCTAATCCATTAAATATTAGTAATTAATCTATTCTAACTCCAGGAAATCTGCAGAATGTAGAGAGACAAAAAGAAAAAAAAAAAAAAAAAAAAAAAAAAAAAAGGAAAAGCAACCATTAGTAATTCTGCCATCACAGATAAACATATTTACTTTGGTATTTTGGTATACGTTTTTTCCTAATTTTTTTTTTTTGATATGACTTATTTTGCATAATGAACTTTACATCATGGAGTATTAATGTAATATTTTTGATTTTTAAAAACATTTTCACTCAGCAACATTATCATGAACTAGTTCTTACGTCAGCAAAAATTATTATATAGTTTAATGATGTAATAAATATTTAGTATTCAATAACTGTATGCATCATAAGTCACTTATTTTTTATCATTTTACCCATTTTTACATTTCTGACATTTTCGATAAATTCCCAAAAGTGTTACTTGATGGAATGAAGAATCTGCATGTATTTTGAGAGCCAACAGCAAATCAACATACCTGCCCACCAGCAGTGTCATGAGAATGTCTCCTCCCCACGAGGATGACAACACTGGCCTTTATTACCCTGTCTTGCTTCCACCAACTTGATATAGAAAAACTCATCTCTTTGACTTTGTTTTTATTTTACCACGAATACAAGAAATATTTTCCCACAGATTTATTCCTCCTACATACAATACCCCTTCACACCCTTTACACAATTACTGTGTAAGAAGTCTTTCTATATATGTAGCCGAATGAGAATCTACAAACACCCAAACTGCATGTTAAACAGACTCATCATCAGCATGATAAAAAGAGACAATATGAGGGAACCATAATGTCAGATTTTGGGTGGTTTATTCTCTAGCAGAATTTGCTACTCACATGTTCTAGGTCTAGAAAATACAAAACAACACGACTAGCCGCCCCTGGGCCCACGTTACACTGCTCTACACTCTCAAACGCAGGAGCTGTGTTATGGGCAGAGTTGTGTCACCTTCCCCTCCTTCACCGCCACCCGCAAATCCATAGGTTGAAGCCCTAACTCCTAATGTGACTGTATTTGGAGATGGGGCCTTCAGGGAGGTCACTAATGTTATATGAGGTCATAAGGGTGGGGTGCTAATCTGAGAGTACTGGTGTCCTTATTCGAAGAGCAGTCCAGGGACTAGGAATCCGCGCTTCCACTGCAGGGGGCACGGGTTTGATCCCTGGTTGGGGAACTAAGACCCTGCATGCCAAATAAATAAATAACGAGTAAATGGTAAATTAAAATTAAAAAGAGGAAGAGGAAGAGACACCAGAGCCTTCCTCTCCACCACGTGACGACACAGAGAGAAAGTGACCACCAGGAAGGGGGTTCTCACCAGAAACCTCCGTGACTATAGCACCTTGATCTTGGACTTCTGGCCTCCGGAGCCGTGGGGAAATAAACGTCTGCTGTTTAAGTCACCCAGTCTGTGATATCATGGCATGGCGGCCCAAACAGACTGATACAAACAGGGTTAGATAGTTCTCAGCTTCCTTTCCCTTAATTACCTCCGGGTGGGCACGGGAGGCCCGGGAATCGCGAGAGTAGCAGGGTGGTACTATTTAGTGCAGCCTTCTGCTAACACACTCACCCCAGATGAACTACAGGTGTCGAGATAAGGCATGGACTGCTTCAAATCAGCACACCTGGATAAACCAAAGCTTACAAAAAGATGTGCGCCAGTGCTGTGAAATAAGCCTGGAGAAGAAAGCACTAACTTAAGAACATCCATAGTACGACCACTTCCATAGACAATCTGATAAGAAACTCAGGAAACTTGGTTAGGATGACAGTAATAGCAAAATCAGGTAGTTCCCATATACAGAGACTCTTTTTCAACTTGAACTCTTTTTTTTTTTTTTTTTTTTTGCTGTATGCAGGCCTCTCACTGTTGTGGCCTCTCCCGTTGCGGAGCACAGGCTCCGGACGCGCAGGCTCAGCGGCCATGGCTCACGGGCCCAGCCGCGCCGCGGCACGTGGGATCTTCCCGGACCGGGGCACGAACCCGTGTCCCCTGCATCGGCAGGCGGACTCTCAACCACTGCGCCACCTGGGAAGCCCCCAACTTGAACTCTTATATGCATATGTAATAAGATTTTGTAAGGTCCAAATATATGTTCCAAACTTTTATTCCCCAAACGTGAGTCACTATGAATTTACACTAGGTAACACGTTAAAATCGCATCTGCGCTTAGGAAGGCTAAACGCTCTTGCTCTCAATTCAAGGACCCCATTCAATGTTATATTTTATTGACCTCCATCACACAGAAGGAAAATAAATCCTTATTTTATTCTGTAATTCAAACCTGTTCCTTCTTTAGCCACTTCTGCCTAGCAACTGATGACTTTGACACCAAAATAAAGCCATCTTCAAAAAATAACTGATGAACCGTTGTGTCACACAATCATCTAATTCAGTGGCAAACCC